TTTTTCTTCGTTCTGTAGCTCACTGTGGTTTTGCTGTATCGAAGCATCTGTTCCAATGGCTGATGTACCGCTGTTGATGGTGACAGCTCTTTTATCCAACTGGAATCGTATGACCTCGCCTGCGATAAAAGAATTTGTTATATACCTTTTTGTGATACCATCCGAGACACGTTATCAATTGAATCTTCTGCATCTGCGGGTGACTTTTCACGAACCAGTGCAATCACATTGGCCAATTAACAGCATCGAGTAAACTGGTTCCTTTTCCACATTTGGCCTATATCCGCCCCCATGCCAGGTGACGCGCAACTCAAAAGTTGCTGGTATCCTGTCTCATGTTTGTGGCCTTCATGGTTTAGCTTCCGGAAACAGCACATAGTAATGCCCATTCTGATGTCAAAGGGAATTTGCGAAGAAATTGCTTTTCGTTAAATCTCCTCAGCCAATTACAATTATGAGCTTCATAATCATTTGTGCAGTAGCTATTGCTGGAGATATGACACAAAGTCGTGAATGCTGCAATCGGATGAACAGTGGCAATCTATGTCTTTTCGAAACCACTACCGTTGACCATTATGCCAGAAGTCAGGTGATCAGGCTAGGGCCACGTTAGGGTTAAACTTTACATAAGTGCATGCTGTTCACACATTTCCGACTTCAGTTGCTTGATCGCAATTACTTCTGAGGTGGCCAGAGGAGCTTCCTGAGTCCTTTTGTGCAGCGTTTTGCTGCTGCATACCCTATTTTGAAGGCCTCTTTCGTTTGTATATTATGTCCACTATCTACTAGGTGTTCTAGTATCGAGCTGTGGACGTTTCTGGTGCTACCAAGCTTGAGTTTCACATCTACCGTATTCCCAATGCTGCTCGGTTTAGATCTCACCCTGCACATTAAATTCTGATCCTGCTTATCTGTCCTTTTTATCTTACCTTTTTCTATGTCCAGTTTTCTTATTTTCCACACTTGGGTTACCAAGTTGCCTACCATTAGAAGGTTTCGGCTCACTTCGTTTCACTGGCTCTCCCAACCCTCCTGCACTGGTTACTGATCGTCTGATTTCCTTTTTTTGCCTTGTCTTGGTTTGATTCACCTTTGTTCTCCATATCATAATATTCCAGGTAGTTGGTTAACTATTTCTCTGATAAAATGACAGAGGTGACCCAGGTTTTTGTCACTCCACTTCACCTCATCTTGGCCATCATCATCTCGTAACGTTTATCAGACTTAAACGCTCGCCATCTGCTAATGTCAACACTGGCAGACTGGTAGAATGAGAAGCCAGATCTTTTCCCGTACATTATTGACAACTTGCTCTTCAATATTTCATATTCATTCATCCTGGCCCCAAAGTTAACCGTGTGTCAGAGTGGCCCCTGTCATCTCAGATAGCCGGACTTCCAGGATTTTCGACTGGCTCCACACTCAATCTTGGCCATCTCCATGAAATTCTCTTTTAGCTGGCTCCATTTCCCACTATGCGCCTGTTAAATCTCAGGCTCAGTGATGGGTGGACACCCAGTTCCTATCTTTTTAACAGACCTTATCTTACATGCTTATACTATTATCGCACTGTACCCTGGCGTAATAAAAGTTAACATCACTCAGAATGACGACTGAGGTTATGGCTGGTGATTCACACACGCCTTACTGTATGCCTTAATAACCCGGAGTATAGGGGCCGTAAAGCTTCCCACTACAATTCATGATCACAAATAATATTGTGCTATACCACACCTTTTAGACAATTTAGAAATTATGTTGCCATCATCTAGGTCGCTTTTCCTATCATAGCTGCGTCGCACTGAAATGTTGTCATCTACCAAACGAGGTACCTTTGTACCTAGCGCCAGAGTCTGTTGCTATTAGAATCTTCGTTTCATTCTGAAGCACTTTTCTCACAGCGTAAAGCTTCCGGCATGAGTCCGCATTTTTAGATGTCCCAAAACAACTACTAGGGAAATTACAAGAACGCTTGCCAAATTTTATATATTCCGTGCAAACTGATGTCTAAATCTTTGGATAATTCTCTGCCAGATATTGAAGCTTTATTTATTTTCACTGGTAATCATTTTACAGCGTTCCTTGTCTACTTTCATACTATTTTTATTTTCTTTCTGAGTCTACTGCGAACTAGGGCTTCTGCACCTGTTTTAATCGATCGATGAAGTTAGATTGCTCGTCAGCGGGATTTTGAAATAATTACTACAGCCGGTCTGCGGCCGTCACGTTAACAGATAAGAGGTCGATCAGTTTTGCTTCTGTTATCATTACCTTACTATTCCTTTCCGGCACTATTCCGTGCCTGCTTATTTGCTTACCTTACATCGGCCTCTTACTAGGCGGTTGAGTGTCTAGCCGTCTACGAGGTATTTATTTTGTATTGCACCTTGTCGCACTACTTCGATACGAAAGAGTTTAGAACGCCAGACCGGAGGAATATTACATATTTGGCGACTCTGCCATTTCACCACAGCAGTCCACGAAGCTAGATATTAGCCCTTGTGGCAATTTTTAAGTTTCTGCTTGTCGTTCAATCTCCCGAACCTAATATACCGCACTCAATCCCTCTTGCAGGTACATAATTTGATGCCGTTATGGGCGCTGAGGACAGCGCCTGCTAAGAGGAGGATAATGTAGCCGGTCTGCGGATGTCACGTTAACAGGTAAGTGGTCGATCGGTTTTGCTTCCTGTTATCATTACCTTCCTGTTCCTGTTTGGCACTCTTCCCTTTTTCTTCCGTGCTTCCTTAGCTGCTTCCCTTACATCGACCTCTTACTAGGCGGTTGAGCGTCCAGCCGTTTACGAGGTATTTATTTTGCATTGCAGCTTGTCGCAATACTTTGACACGGAAGTGTTTAGAACGCCAGACCGGAGGAATATTACAACTCATCTAAGAAAGTCCCATTTCCGGTCCGACTGCGCTGGTCCAGATCGACGGGACATCCGTTAACGGAGGATATAACCCCAGCACAATCTTCTGCACTTCACCCTGAACAACGTGCATGGGTGGAACTGACATGGATATAACATAATACATATTCTCATATGTAGAGGGGACTAAATGAAAAAATCTGTATATATTTTGGTCTTTCTCTATTTAGGAATAGTCTCTCGCATCGTCGAGAAATAAAAGATTTATTTATTTATTGAAAAGCAATTTCTTTTGCTGGTATTCATACGTGGTCCAGAATTCACTGTTGTAGATGTCGTTGCATTCCTGCAGCTATTAGTTGCGTTGTCCCAAAAGCTGTTTTGTTATGCTTTCCTTAATGGTTCCTTGAACATGCTTTTCCCCTATAGGACTGTTTTCAACATAGTTACAGAAGTTGCCGGCGCAGGCCAAGATAGTCAACCCAGTGACACGCTTCGACGGATTCATTTGGGCGCTTGCTTCGCTGATAGGTCTCGTTGGTTTTGGCTTCGCAAATCTCCATGCACTGTTAAATGGCTGTCTCCAAATCATTTAACTTTGCCATAGCGTAATGTCTCTAGTAAAGGCGCGCGTCCATCCATAGCTACCTGTCGAAACACGACCAATCGGTATGCCATCGGTTGCTCGTCCCAACGCACCACTGCAGAATTCCATTCCTCCGTAGACGCTAATTACTTGCCAATTTCCGTCCATCCATGTTCAGTGGAACAGGCGCTGGTGATCCCGTCGGCATACGAATAATGTAACAATGGTTTTATGCGAGTAAGGCAACTAATGCCTAACAGGATGGTTATAGTGAAAATTCAAAACGTAAACGTAAAAAAAACATTCTATCCTCGACAACAAGCTGAGTACAGTGGTTGCGTAAAGTTGCATAAACCAATTCTCGGTGCTCGGGGAGAGTTTATAGATATGCCAGGCTGAGTTTCGCACCGCTATAAGCTTGCGTTTCCTGCATCGCAGAAACGAGACAACGTTTCTCGGACAGAACGTCTCAGTCTCTGACGCATCGGCAACCAGAGAGTGTGACGAAATGTTCCCATGCATTGGCTGGTGCCACATCTGCTAGAAATGTCCAGTTGGCTGTCTCATCTAGTCGAGGTAATATGTCGTGGAGTACATACATTCTCGTTGCGTTGGCACTTTTCACGGAATATTCTGCATAGCAAATTTATCCGAAGAATAGTAGGGCATGGTCGCTGCCGCCCAATGGGACGTCGACCATCACCATTAGTTCTTTGTTGATGAATATCCAATCCAGTATCGAAGGATTTTTTTCCGGAATCGGGTGGTGGTGTTGATATGGCCATAAAGCGGGTAACTGGAGATAAACTTGCAGATCTGCTTTAAACTGTTCTCTGGGAGATGCTTGGGATTCCAGAGCGTGGATGTTGAAATCGCCAGTAATGAGAATGTAACTGTAAGTTGTGCTTATTGCGGATGCTAGATGGAAGTCCATCTCAAGCGTGAAGGAAGGATGGCGGTAATTGACCGCCATTAAGCAAGTATCATTGCCTTTTAAACGTAGACGGCACCAAACCGAATCCCGTGCCATGCTGACCGGATCCTCTATGAGCTCACATTGGATGTCATTACGGAAGTACAGAGCCACCCCTCCACCTTTGCTGAGTCGGTCGTGCCTGGCAGTGCGATCTCCATGTCACTTATGTCAGGGCGTAACCATGTCTCCGTTATAGCGATGAGGTCACAGGCTTTTGATCCTTGACGCAACCCCATTTCAAAAAGTTTACTCAGTGAGCCTTGAGCGTTGGTATACATGCCGGAAAGCTTCTCGGATGTCAAAAGCTGTTGACTAGGAGCACATGAATGATGTACATTTGTGTCGACCGGTGAGAGACCGGAACCTAATCGTTTTTGGGTGAATTGCCGAATCTCGATAGGAATGCAATCTGTCTATGATCTCACTTGCACTTGCGTTTCGGACCTCGGCCTCTGAGGAAGGCTCTAAACTAACCGTCCATTGCTCGTCTTACATCAGCTGAGTAGGAAGAGGTCCGGGAGCAGGGTGCCAGCTGAACAGATCTTGAAAAGGTTTCGCCCAGCGGGTGCTGTCTGGTGTCGGATCCTTATGGCACTCACTCGGTGATCATCGGGTAGCATGGGAGCAGGGATTGATCGCCGTGCTTGTTGCTGGTGGTGGGTTGTTGTCGAATATCAGTTCGGAGTGTTGAGAATGCGTGTGATGGGTTGGGTATCGCGAGATTTTGTTGCTGACGGTTGTTGATTTCAGCCTGTCTGGAGAGTACAATGTGTTGTGTTGTGTTGTTGATTTGATCGTCTGACAGATGCTGGTGTTGTTGTTGGTTGTTTGCGTATGCGCGCCCGTCGTATTGGATTGGCCGTGGGCGTACCTTCGGTTGTTCCTTGTATTCGGGCCACAAAGACTCGCGTGTACAATCTGCATTTGCTGTGCTTGTAGCCTGCGATGCGTGAACCAGCATGCGACAGTGTGTGTTGTGGTTCTCGACGTTTGAGTGTGTTGTGTATTGGTTTTCTTGACGCGTGTATTGTTTCGCTGTGTGTTGGCGTGGTACGGTCTGTTGTGTGTGTACTTGGTTTGTCTGGTCGTTTGTATGCTGATGTTGTCGCACCGGAGTCAGCTGTAACACTTGGTGTTACAGGGTTACAGGCGTGCGAGAGTGAATTGCGGCGATGTGGTTGGTATGCCAAGTTGTTGGTGCACTTGCTGCGTATCGGCCGCGCACACGTGCAATGTGCTTTAGTGTGTTGTCTGTTTGTATGTTTCGAATGTGTGATATGTCAGTGCGCCATGGTGTTGATTGGTTGTTGTGTGTGTTTTGCGTTGTGTATTCGTGTGTGTGGCAGTGGCTTCTATGCACCTACGGTATGTAGTCCATCAGGAGTCTTTTCGACAGCTGCGGGTCTTAGTGCACATGTTTCTGAATCGCTGTTATTGTTATATTGAGTCGCGAGTGGTGTCGTTTCCGCGAGAACAGGTAGTGGTCGCAACTCTAACTACTGTCTTCAGTCGTAGTCCCGAAGAAAGTGTGTTGCTTAGTAACTGTCAGCTACGGGTTAAGTTCACAGCCATCTATTGTTACTGCACCGTTACTTTCAGTATCCTCGGGCTACTGCCTCTGTAGTTTGGCGACGCGGGTATCCGTGTAATCGACTGAAGTATGAGGTCACGCGCACTGAGCACTTCACGGATGTAACGCCATTATTCCAAGTCATAGACGTTGGCTTCTTCGCTGCTTGTTGTCAGTAGCTCGGGCACGCCATGAACAAAAATAATTCTTTTGCTACTGTCCGTGTGGTGATCGAATCAAGCCATCAGGTTTACCCTAGATCAACATTTACAGTTATCTATCGAAATGACAGCCTCAAAGTATTGAGGTTTTCCGAAACGGTGGCCCTATCTTTTGTGTACAAAAACGATTAACAGTCTCCCTGAACCTTCCTTGGGGCTCATGACCCTAAAATCAAGCTCGTTGATCTGTTATTTCTGCGTCTACGTAATTTTCCTTTGTGACTAGTTTCAAATCTTCGATTTTACTGTCACTTGATTCATATTTATGTTGTTAGTTTGCGAGTGAGCAGATAACACGAAATGGTTCCCACTCGCAATACCAGTCTTCTCATTGTCTTATTTAGAGTGAATCATTTCTGTCCTGCTGACGTTCGCTACATGGAACATCCGAGAATATGTGTATTCAGTCCGCAGGCGGTATGCCTACAAAAGCACCGTCTCGAAATCATCTCTTGATCCCAATGCTACTCGCATTAGCTGGGACTCCCCATAATTAGTCGAGTTTAGATGTCTGGTGCTGCGCATTATGTCAATCGGACTAGCTTGAACTCCGATTTTATTACAAAGGAAATTTCATTGCTTTGAATCATCTATCTGCTTACCCCTTAAGGAGTTTGCTTTGGATTCAGGAATGTTGGTGCATATAAGTGCCAAGGCCCCGTAGCTCCGCTTGGTTTTCTTTGATGTTTGTAGTACCGTTATCGAGAGCTTAGATGACGTCTCTGCAGGTTGCACTTGGTCCTTCACCCGTTTTACGGCTGTACTGGGTGAGGCTACTGAGGTCGCCCTTCGATTATACCGAAAAGCAACGGTTCGTCCTGGTCTTTGTTGACACTATGTCGCAGAACTCAGTCCTTCAAGGGCAAGGGTTTATTCGGCGATGTCAGCTTATCGAATATTACAGCACGGTTGGCAAGCGAATCTCCTCGATGTATCTTGTCCGTTCACATCCATAACTAACCACACTTATGAGACGACAAGGTTACTGTTTTGACTGCGTCCAATCTTTGACCAGTGGTCAAATTCGTTATGTGTTTTTTCGTGTAGCTAGCTCGTTTGATCCAACAGTTCGCTCTGGTATGGCCCTCCTATCACGGAACGCATTGTTATATCAGTCGTCTGCTGACAGGTAATTCGACGTACCCCGATGTTTGCTTAAGCTGTTCTAGCCTGTTAGATTATTCCGCTCTCTGGGTAGCGTTCACAACCCGGAGCTGATCGGCCTTTGGGGTGTAAACCGTTCAGAATCTGCTTCACTTACAGTAGCCGTCTGGATGTGTCATCCAAATTGGACATCGCTCGTTCCAGCAAGTAACTGAGGTGGACAGCGAATAGGAACGGGTCAGTGTTCGGAGGTTCAATACCGAAATACATTTACAAACGGGTACACTTTTACTCCAAGTTTGGCGGCCTTGAATCGCTGCACTGCATAGTTGCGGTTAGTCAGGATGTTAAATCCCGAAATGAGCACCTCATTCGCGGCGGCCCATTGCAACTTAACTGGCCCCTTCGATCCGCCTCCAGAATTAATTTCACTATGCCTTTGATGAGACTCCGCAGGGTAAGTATCTTCGCTCCTTCTTGCTACACTCTGCCACCACGAAATCTTCGGAGTCTCTCAGAAATTTCGTTACACCCCGTCCTCAAGTGGCTCCGGTCAAGTCATCTTAATGTTCCACATCTGGCTAGTCATTGCGTCAAATCTTGAGGTAACGCGGTGAAAACGAGTTACACACTAGAGGACGCACGCTTAGATATTATAGCATTTCGAACAGAAACTTCCTAGTACCTCTCCCGTTATCTGTTCCTCTGCACCCCTTCATTCACAACGTACCGGAGGAGGTAGATTTGTGAACCACTGGTTCTTCGTTCACGGTGATCTTCGATTTCTCTGATTTCCTTGCGCCTCCTCGTCATTAACAATGCACCCCACTGTCGCAGAATTAGACCTATACTACTGGTTTGACTATTATGAAGAAGCAAATGGCAAGGTAACTCCAGATCCACTTGCTACATGATTATATCAATGAGTCGCAATACAGAGAGTTGAAACTGACTGGTATGCAGACGCGCAGAATGGGGGGGGGGCTCCCAAGGCAGGCGACCTGCTACGCCTGATTATATGTATGAACAATTCGCCTTATCACAACGTTGGGCGGTGGCTGGCAAAACTTTTAGATCCGGTGCGCAAACTTCTGGCTACGTTTTGTCTCAAAGAATCCTATGATCTGGCCGTGACGCGGAAATAATTGTCACTGAGTACGGAGCTCATGTATTCGACCTATGTGGACTCCCTATTCACAAACGTGTCTTTACTTGAAGCGGTCGATATTTCATGCGACTTCATCCTGAGCCAGAATATATCTGGGTCTGCCAGTGGAGTATTTAAGGGATATGATTCTATTATGAACCGAAAACATGCCGATTGAGTTTGAGGGGAAAGTGTAAGAACAGGTCGACGTGGTCGCTATGGGCAGCCCTCTGGGACAAGGTTTAGCCGACATCTTCCTCGGCTCGGTACAAAGGCAAATTGCTGCCGGCATTGATAAAGCGTTGTATGGATGACATTTTAGTCTTCAACAGTGGAGGACGATTTGCGCAGCGGTTGACCATTCAATTCACCCCAACCTGCCGGTATCACATGAAGGGGAACAACACGGTTGCCTTCCATTTTTTGGTATACTCACTAGGAGACGGGCTGAAGCAACACTGTAGCGCACGGCAAATCGACTTGAAGTGGACAGTACTTTCATTGTTTTTCCGGTCGCACTCAAGGGCAGCTTAGTGAAAACCCTCTTCTGCTGAGCTAGATCTATCTGTAGCCCAGAAGAAAAAATTCTACGCACGACCATAATTTCTGATGGGTATCCTGAGAAGTTTGTTCAGCTACACATCAGGCCTCCTAGAAAAAGAACACCGCTACTAACGGTAGAGAAAAAGAATGTTTATCAGTTTTTGACGTTCAAGTGGGACCATGTGGCAAATGATATCGGACACAAACTCCGGTTCGCCTTAACGCAAAACTACATGACCGCCCAACTGCGACTCATGCATATCTGATTGGCGCTTAATCTGATCACACGCTATTGGCATGCAACGGAATGTCCATTATCGTCTGATTTGCCTCGGTAGCTGTGCAACTTTTAGTACTTTGTTACATTAACCTACCGTGATGGCAATTAAGGACCGCAGTGTTCGATACACAGTATGCCGTTCCAGCTCGTCACTACTGCTCTTAGTAAAGGAACAGGTGGAAGCAGCTCGCCAATCGACCGACACGACAGTACCCAATTAATACAGGCCTTCCGTATTGCTTAGATTACGGGAGAGACATACATGTTCCCCAGCCTCAACTACGTAAATTGGCTAGTTTTAAGGTGGAAGTGCACTGGATTGGCTAGAATGCAGAGACAAACGGACAAGGGTATATTACGGGTAAAACAGCAAAACCTCAATAATTCTCTTAGCATAGTAGTATGAGAACCACTAAATGGTGAAAAAAACGTAGTGATTAGTATGGAATCGATTTGATGGACTCACCAATTTTCACAGACATATACATAAAAGGACCAACTTCGATTGTGAGTTAATGCTGACTGTACAACCTTCTTCACATCGTCAGTCGATGTGCACCGGCTATATTTCCTGATGTAAGCAACATCAAAGTGTTTTTTAAACACGGGTAAAGTGGGGTCGGAGACAGCATAATTTGAGAGGGCGTTCCATAGTTGACAGACGCGGAGAGTAAATGTTTCGCCGACATTCTAGCCGGCTGTATTGCGTGACCAACTTAAGCTGATGGCCCCTCAAATTTGTGTTATGATTGAGTTGCAGTAAGTGGGGGGGGGGAATGTAGTTTGGGTTCCTCAAAATCTGGTAGATCATTATTAGATCCCACCCTGTCCGTTATACAATCCTCAGCCTTAGTTGATATGGAAGACGAAGCAACTCTTCAATATGCTTCGTAACTCTTCGCTATGGAATCTCGAGTGCTGCGTGGTCTTGATTGTGCCAGGGCTGCCACACCTGGATTGCGCATTTCACATGAGGCCGCACGTAGGTGCTAAGCAACTGCGAACAGACAGATTGATCAAGGCACCCGAATACCATCCGCAGCATGTCAGCGTATTGGTACTCGGTTTTTGAGGCCTTCGTCGTCTCACTGCCTCTAGCAGTCGCAAGCAGGTTGCCGAATTCAGCGATCGATCGTCTCGCGGTTGTCCGATTTTCCCGCTTTTGTTCAACTTCACCGTGGACTCATGGAGAGATCCCTTACGGAATCTCATGATGTAGGCGTTGAGGTCTTGCCTGATGAATACTTAGTTGATCTTGATCATGCGGACTATATCGTCTTTCTTTTTGACGACTTTCGGACAGCCCAATCAACCCTGAATAGCCTATCTAGAGTAGTCCCATTATTTGGTATGCGCTACTCGCCTTCAAACTGCAAAGTGTTGTACCAGGCACTGGATGATCGCTTAACCCAAGATAACGAGGAAGAAGTGATTGATCGATCCACTTGCCT